GGACCTGGCGGCGCGCAGACCCCAAAACCTAGCGGGGCAGATACACGGCCACGGGACGCAGTGGGCGGACAGGAACTACAAATTGACAGCCATGATATTTGCCAATTCGCCCACTATGGATACGTGCACTGCATGCTCTTGGGAGCGGGGATACTACCAGAGGCGCCATCTGAAGAGGTTCTCGTTTCTGGTGGAGGAGACGGACGTATCTTGCTATGGCGGATAGACCCTGCGCAGCGTGGTGCTATAACAAGCATCTACACACTGGAAGATGGGAGAGAAGAAGGTGAATCTATACTCTCCCTCGCCCGAGAAGGTTCCTTCCTGTACAGTGGACGCTTCGACGGCGAGGTCAACGTATGGGACCTGGAGACCCGACAACTAGTGAGAAGTCTGAAAGCGACTACTGGCGACGTGCATACTTTGACGCTGGGTGCCGGTGTTCTCTACGCTGGTGGTAAAACAGGTGTCATGCAGGTGGGTGTTTGCGGCCACTTTGTCAGGGATATGACTAATATTGATAGAAATTCAACGAGCACTACGAAAGCATCACGTCCTTCAAAGCACACGACGGCTTGATTCTCGCTTCCGCCTTTACCCGCTACAATGACAAACCCACTCTCGTTACGGGCGGCAACGATAATACAGTGGTTATCTGGGAAGTCAGAGATTGTGCGGAACCCAATGCCGTCTCACGCAGAAGTAACAATGGTGTGTACACGTTTGAAACTTTGATTAGCCCAACTAATGCGTAGTGCAGATCTCATGGTGGAGTCCCTGAGCCAGTTCGTTTCTTTTCGGACCGTATCATCGCTGCCCAAGTATCGCGCTGACTGCCGTAGAGGGGCGTCTTACTTGCGCTCCGTTTTCCACAATTTTGGCGCTGTGACCGAGATGATCAATACAAGCGAGTACAACCCAATTGTATTTGCCAAGTTTCGCGGTAATCCGGCTACAGCGGCCTCGCGTAAGAAGATTCTGTTTTATGGGCACTACGATGTTATCCCTGCAGAAAACGAGCACCGCAAGTGGAAACACGACCCCTTCGCGCTGACTGGAGAAGGAGGCTACTTGTATGGTCGGGGCGCTTCCGACAACAAAGGACCGATCATGGCTGCCATCTACGCGGCCCATGAGCTCGCCAATGAGCAGAGCTTGGACTCCGACATCATCTTTCTGATTGAAGGTGAGGAGGAAAGTGGCTCTCGCGGGTTCGAGAAGGCTGTGCAATCCAGGAAGGATCTCATTGGTGATGTTGATTGGATCCTGCTGGCTAACAGCTACTGGCTCGACGATCACGTACCGTGCCTGACATACGGACTTCGAGGAGTCATACACGCCACCGTGCAGATTGAAAGTAAGCATCCCGACTTGCACAGTGGTGTGGATGGAAGTGCTCTGCTGGACGAGCCCCTCAAAGATCTTGTCATGCTGCTTTCGCGATTGACTGCGCGTCATGGCAAAGTCCAAATACCAGGCTTCTATGATCCCATTCTGCCATTAACAGACGATGAGAAAGAGCTGTACACAGAGATCACCAGGACGCTACTACGCAGTAACCCAGACCTTGGCGATGCTGAAGAACTAGCACAGTCACTGATGCGAAGATGGCGAGAAGCTTCGCTCACCATTCATCGCTTCCAAACTTCTGGTCCTGATAACTCAACTATTATTCCGCGTCTTGCCAAGGCCGCACTCTCCATACGGCTGGTGCCAAATCAAGAAGCAGGCAACGTAGCAGAGAGTCTGAAGTCCTTTTTGCAATCAGAGTTCGAAGAGCTAGATTCCAAGAACCAACTCAAGGTAACAATAGATCACCAAGCTGAGCCGTGGCTTGGTGATTTCAACAACGAGATTTTCCAGACGCTTGAGCGCGCCATTATGTCAGTATGGGGTCCAACACTAGGACAGAGGCGAGAGAGTATATCTACAGTCAAGTCGCCAGACTATTTCTCGCCACTGTCGCAAGCGAATGCTGAACTTCCAACGCCTGCTACTAAAGACAAACCTGCGCCTGCGACATCGAATACTCTGGCAAACTCATCAGACCCAGCTCTCTCCGGACCTGTTCTATCATCTGGCACTTCGACACCCGACAACGCTCGGGGCGAAGGAGTGTCTCGTAAGCCTCTCTATATTCGGGAGGGTGGCTCTATTCCCAGTATCAGGTTCCTGGAGAAGGAATTCAACGCTCCAGCCGCGCATCTACCGTGCGGTCAGGCAAGTGATAGCGCGCATCTGGACAATGAGCGTCTAAGGCTGGTGAATCTGTACAACAGCAAGAAGATCTTCAAGGAGGTGTTTCGAGAGCTTCCGAAGAAATGAGAGTCCAGACTTCAATGCGTAGTAGAGGAGTAGTAGTTTATCCCGAGGCTTGAATACTGGTGTCTGGCCCGGTATCTTGTGTAAATATATGTGCTGTCTGATAAGCATACAACGATTGTGTCTTTTGATGGGCGTGTTGCACATGTGATATACGAAGCACATGTGCATACCCTTCCCTCACGTCTCCTTTGCGACACCTTAATTATCAATCAGTACTTTCTGTTGAACCAATCACGGCATATCAGACCCTTGACCCACATCCTCGGCTTACCCCAATCGCATACCCCGCTGCCGCTATCCACTAGCCAGATCATTCGGAACTTGTATTTTTGTACATCACTACTTACGGAACATACGCCGTTAAAATCAACAGGTTTCAACAAACGAGAAGTTGGTCAGTGCCAAAGAAAGTGAAGCTTAGGGATAAGGCAGGCTTACGCACGACAGTACCCGGCCGCGGACCCATAGCCGGTGGTACCGTCGTACAGTTGAGCATTTGACGAGCTGTGAATCATACGGGAGTTAGAAATTTACATCTGGTCTCAAAACACTTGACTGGAAGATTGTTGGTGAAGCTTTTTTTTTCCTGTCCCGAGAATTGCGTCTTCTGGCGTCCGTTTGCTATCTTTTGCATTGTCACGAACGGTATCACCAACAACCATATCAATACCGGTTACCCCGATAACTCGTCGAACCTTCAGCGCGAAGAAACGTCCGTCCATCGTCCCAGTCCCCCGACCTGGAAGTAACAAACATACCGTACCAAGATGGGCGTCTTCTACGAAACCATTCCCAATAGTTTAGTGCCATGGATCAAAGAACAGCAAATGCTCTGGGTGGGCACAGCACCGTTGTCAGGCGAAGGCCACATAAACATCTCACCTAAAGGAGGTCAGAACTTTGGTATCCTAGATGAGCGGACATTCTGGTATATGGATCTCACAGGGAGTGGGGTGGAGACACACGCGCATCTTCACGAACCAGGAAATGGGAGGATCTGCGTCATGGTAAGTCATCTCCACCCCGGAGACTGATTTAGCGCCATGCGAGATAAGCTGGGAATGCTAGAGACTTGTATTGACAGTCCTCCCCCACAGTTTATGGCTTTTACTGGTCCCCCCAAGATCGTCCGCATATGGGGCACAGGGCGCCCTCTCGAAAACGGCACAGCAGAGTACTCAGCCTTTGTCTCCGACCACAAGGTTGAAACTATCCCGGGTTCCCGTAGCATCATCATCGTTGACGTGCACCAATGCGGCACAAGCTGTGGATTCTCAGTCCCGTACTACGACTTTGTTGGCCACCGCGACATTTTGAACGAGCATTTTAGGAAGAAGGAAGAAAAGGCCAAGAAAGGAGATGAGAAGGAGAGCATAGACTACTACTGGGCGTGGAAGAGTCAGTTGAGTATTGATGGGCTGCCTGGTATGAGACGGGGGTATGAGTATGCGCAGAAACACGGGGTTAAGCCGTTGAAGAAGATGGTGGGGCCGTATGCACCGGGAGCGGAGAAGGGGGTGAGGGGAAGCAGCAACGGGGTGGATCCGATGTATTTGTTTGTAGTGTTGCTGCTAGGAGTAGTTATCGGTGGGGCGATGGCGTTGAGTGTCGTTACGCCCGAGAGGTTGAGGGCATTGCAAGAGAAGGGAATGGTTGTATGAGGTATTCTGACTGTCTAGAATGATGTTTACTGTTTTAATGGTCTGACCTGGTCATTTAGCCTGTAAATTTGCTCGGGCAAGACTGGAGTAGCGTGTCTCTGGCTTGAGTGATTAACACCTTCGATGCAGCGACGTAAAGATGGTCGTAGCCCATGTGCTCATCGGCATGTGCCTGGGCTGATCATGTCTATCGATGTACTTGGCGTTACGTGTGAATTACCAACTGTCATTAGGCGTTCCGTGTGCTGTAGGACGGTGCATGTTATACGAAGGACCGGTGCTGGTGGCGGAGATTGTCGAGTTTGAGAACAGATGGGGAGACATTCAGCGGGGTCAGATGGGGCGGGATTGGGCGGTAGCTACCACAGCGTTGGGAAGGTGCGAACTTCTGTTACCTCACTACGGCCTTGGCCATAGTCAGTGCTTTGACATGCGCCCGTACTACCCGAGCTGACGGTGAACGGCCGTGGTCAGGAAATGGGCTTTCTGCTATTGTAAGGCGTCCCACTGTAGTCGTTATACGGTGCTGACCATTTTGCGGTTAGACCCGCCTCTACGCAAGGTTGGAGGGCCGTGGAAATAGCATGAGAGGCTTGGACAACTCAACGTAAAGGTGATGCAAGATGATATACAGCATGGTTCCGCGGGCTTGTCAGGGACAAGCATACCCAGGCAGCGTCGCACGGTGAGAGCGATGGCAGACAAGCTTTGGACCAACACAACAAGATGCAGCTGCGGTTCAGCCGCGCATATGGACGGACTAGGCGTTTCAATAAACCCCAGCCGTAAACGTGTAGAGTAGCTGCTCACGTGCGGCATCGCGCCTGCCGAGGCAGTGGACGCCTTCATCAAGCTTAATGTAAGCGAAATGCCGATCCTGGATTCCGCCAATCCTCGTCTTCCGCCCTATCAACCTCATCACCGTCGTGACGCTCATATTGCGAAAAAGGACCGCGCATCTGACCATGGCCATCGAGGATAAGCGCGACAGCGCCAGACCGCGCCGCATGGCTGTCACACACCATAGCGACCGTATCTCAAAGGAAGGGTTGGGTAAGCCATGTCATGCCACCGAGGCTGGGCACGAAGCCTCAACCGCTGCCACGGCGTCTTCTTGCCCGTTGGCCGAGGCTTGTCTGTCTTGTCGGTCGCTTGGGTTTCGTGATGCCGGTAGCCGGTGTCGTGATGTCGCAGTCCCCTGAGCACGCAATCACCGTGGACAAAAATACGATCAAGGTCCGTCGCCCAGGTCTTGGGCGACGCAGAGAACATTCGGAGACCCGCCTCGAGGAGGGACACTGGGAGGGATGGCCGTCGCAGGAACGAATCGTAGCGTCCGGAGATGGTCTTGGCTCCATGGCGCGATTGGCTAGGGCCCTGTCCGTATCCTAAGCTTCCAGCCTTTATCTTGACTGTCTGCAGGCGGCCCCACAGCATGGTTGTTGGTGTGAACGTCTCGGTCTGGCCTGCATGCTCCCTCGACGTCTCTCGCGATGTCTCTCTCGAATCCCTCGCTGCAATCGTCTTCTAGAACACGCATGTCGACGCTATTACCCGCAAATAACCGCGTTTGCGGGCGAAAAGAGCAAGGGCACTGATACCGCCATGGGAGACCAATGGCTGAGTCCCTAGCAGGGGCAAATTGTCGTTGGAGGCGCTACAATAGTGCGCCTGGGCATTCCTTGGGGGTGGTCGCGGGGTAGTGATAGTCGACCGTTTTAGGCAGGAGGTTAGTCGATGAAATGCGACCTGGGCGCCACAGCGAATTGTTATCTTGGTACAGGCAAGCTCTGCTTGTGTCGCTGCTTGCCAGTGGTGGTTAGCAACTTGGCGAGGCTTGAGTAGTCCAGGACGCCTCGGCGGTGCGGTGCGAAAAGAGCATCGTGCAGCACCTATCGCGCACGCCCCGAATGCCCTTCTGGGGACAACAGCCGCGGTGGCGATGCGTTTGCTGATGGGACGACTATCGTGAAGGAGTCGATACGGTGCCTATCCCTGTGCAGGTGTGCGCGCCTTCCTTATCGGGCCTGAAGCTGTAGAGCACGACGCTGGACCCGTGATTCGCGTGCTCAAATTAAATGCACCACCACCCACTCTGTTTTGCTCGCCAGGGTCTCTCTTCTCCTCACCGCATCCCATAAATCATCTCTCGGCTGCTGTGTCAGTCAGTCAACCACGGTCCACCTCTGCCAATCCATACAGGTGAACGTACGCCCACCATGCCTGTCAGCGACGCTGCTGAAGTCGTAAGTGATAATGCATTCAAACAGCAATCTACCCTTGCTAACACCGCCCGCAGCAAGCTGTCGGCTTGGACCCCGCTCTCATTGACGCCTCTGGCGACCCCACGCGCAAGCACCCCGAGCTTCACACTACTGCTGCGCCAGCCTTCCTCCACTCCGAGGGCAAGGCCACGCTTCAGGACAGCTACGTCGACGAGGCTGATGACTTCCCCACTGAGGAAGAGCTTGCCACGCTTCGTCGTGTGCCCGCCAGGATCCCATGGAAGATCTTCACTATTGCTTTCGTCGAGCTTGTTGAGCGCATGAGTTACTACGGAACCGTTGCTGTGTACTCCAACTTCATCGCCAAGCCCCTCACCACACCCACGGGAGCCTCTAGCGACCCTGGTGGTGAAGAGTCGCCCGGTGCTCTCAACATGGGCAAGCAGGTCGCCTTCTCTCTAACCACCTTCAACGCCTTCTGGGTCTACGTCTGCCCCCTCTTCGGAGCCTGGATTGCCGACACCTATCTCGGTCGCTTCAAGACTATTCTGTACTCAGTCTTGGTTGCTGAAGTTGGTCACTTGATCCTAGTCGCCTCAGCTGCTCCATCAGTCATCAAAAACTCAAACACATCCCTCGGTGTCTTCATTCTTGGACTCATCATCATGGGTCTCGGAACTGGAACTTTCAAGCCCAACATTGCCCCTCTTATCGCCGAGCAGGTTCCCCAGGAGAAGATGCGTGTTGAGACTCGCGGCACTGAGCGTGTCATTGTCGACCCCGCCGTCACTGTCACTCGTATTTACAACTGGTTCTACTTCTTCATCAACATCGGTGCTCTTGTTGGTCAAATCAGCATGGTTTACGCTGAGCGATATGTTGGTTTCTGGCTCGCCTACCTGATCCCCACCGTCATGTTCATCGTTGCCCTCCCCGTACTTATCTTCTGCAAGAAATTCTACATCCTCCGTCCCCCGAGCGGTAACGTCATGGGCCCAGCTTTCAAGCTTCTTTTCAAGGCTCTTGGACGTGGAATGAGCGTCAACCCTGTCAGGACATACAAGAACTGGAACGATGGTAACATGTGGACCGCTGTGAAGCCTTCCGTTCTCGGTAGCGCTGCGCCAAAGTGGTACAACTTCGATGACGCCTGGGTTGATGAAGTTGCCCGTGGTTTCGCCGCCTGCTCTGTCTTCTTCTGGGTCCCTATCTTCTGGCTTGCATACCGTCAGATGGACTCTAACTTGACCCAAATGTGCGCAACCATGCACCTCGGTGGTGTTCCCAACGACATTCTCTCCAACCTCGACCCCATCGCCATTATCATTATTGTGAGTACTACTGGGAATAAAGCTCTAGGAAACTTTGACTAATCGTTTTTAGGTACCTATCATGGACTCTCTCGTCTACCCCATGCTTCGCAAGCGTGGTATCCGCTTCACACCCATCAAGAAGATCACTGCTGGTTTCATCCTCGGAGCATTCGCTATGGTCTGGGCTGCGGTTCTCCAACACTACATCTACAAGACCTCCGGTTACTACCAGACTCACGACCCTGACTACAAGACTGACATTTCCGTCTGGGCTGTCACTGGTGTCTATGTTCTGATTGCCATTTCCGAAATCTTCGCTTCCGTCACTACCCTCGAGTACGCTTTCACCAAGGCGCCCAAGAACATGAGGTCGCTCGTCCAGTCTGTGCAGCTCTTCACCACTGCCTTCTCCGCCGCCCTTGCCCAGGCTTTCACTCCTCTTACCGCCGACCCCCACATCGTCTGGAACTACGGCAGTGTCGCCATCATCTCTTTCGTCACCGGTATCGCTTTCCACTTCGCCTACCGCACCATGGACAAGCAGGAAGACGCGCTCAACCTGCTGCCTACTGGTCATCTTGGTACGGAGGAGCAGGCTGCTGATGTCGAGAGGCGCCAGAGCATCAACCAGGAAAGGCGTGCTAGCCTTACTCAAGAGAAGATCTAAGCGGCTGATATCCAGACGCTTGATGTATGATGTTGTGGTTCAATTTACGAATCACTGTTGAACGATATACCCCTCGAACTTAGTTATTGCGTATGTAAGGCTATGTGATCACAGGTGCCGCTCGCTGGACGCGTCGGCTGCTGGGTTATGGCTAGCTTACCTACTTTAATGCCAAACATTCACTTCAGATTAACTGTTCCACTGCTTTCTTGTGATCTTCAATAAATTAAACAGAAATAAACTTACACCGCATAGTCGCATCGGCATTGGTAAATGATTCGGTGTTGTCGCAATCTGCTAGGTTCTGGCGTCATTGGCCCGGCCCCACAGGCGCTGCTGACGCGGGTCCTGGCGCATCGCGATAACGCCAGCCCCCTCTTGTGAACTCTACACCAGCCTCTTTCAAACTCTTGATGCTACAGCACCCAATATTACCGTGTGACCTCCGTTCGAGCACTGCAAACATATACAAACTGGTCGCGTCACTCGAAATACCGACGGATCAATCGCTAACCGCATGTAAGAAAGCTGCCGCACAGTTAGAAGTGTAAAGGTTCTTAGAAACGAGTACCTTGTTATTGAAGTTAAAGTCTCCAACTTTCGTTTGTTCGAGTGACCGCGCGAGTTTCGTGACCCAATCTATGAATACTCGATTGACGTAAGGATAGTATTTCTGCATGGTTCAGTGGGACCCCGGCAAGTGGATACGCGACCCAGATACTCCTCGGGGTCTGGTTTTCCTGGTCCTGATGCACAACCAGGTATGTATAGAATTATTATGATCGGGCCAATTTTGATTATCCCCAAGATCTTATCCAAGAAGATACCGATGGGTCTGAACAGTCTAGTACCAGCAATAAGCACTTGAACATTCCGGGATGGCTCGAGGAAGACAGGAGCGATCCTTATTTGAGAGTTGGGGCTTTTGAGAGCAACACCGCCGCTGTGCTAAGTTTCGATATCGTGGTTTCGACGCCGCTTCTCGCTGTATCCAAGGCGATGAGTCAAGATGTGAACGAAGCACTCGAACTTTGAACTGAAGCCATCAAGAGGGCCTGGACACCAATCGTCTCAGCACCTATGACAAACCTCCACTTCATCCAATTCCCAACCGTGGCTTTTGCTGATTTGTGATGTAGACACTGTCTTTTCTATTATCAAGCGAAGCGTCATCATGTAGAGACAGATTCCAGGATGAGACAAGTAATACTGGAAGAAGTTGAGTTTGATGAAGACAGCGGGATGGAAGAATCCGAAGAAGACAATGAACTAGGGCAGTCTGATCAAGACAACGCGATGGAAGAGTACAACCCCGACGGGTTCGTAGACAACGGGGACATGGCCAGTGACGATAACATCGATGTTTACAGGGAAACAGAACGTGATGAACAGCTCTGGACAGAAGACCTCTCTGGATGTGACGAGGATATTGAAAGCCGCGGAGAGGAGTCAGGATGCCTGTTTCTTCTACCTCGACCAGGAAACGGTTAGGGAAAACCTTTTCGGAGCACCCCAAACGCTATTCGGCGCACCCCAAAAGATTAGATAAGATAAAAGGAACTTACCTAGGTAGACAAGATAGAAGGTCTCTGAGCCACCAAAATATGGCTACGATGTAGTCAGAGTAACCGAAGTTATCGACACCTTTAGACATTATTACCTGATTAGGCAAGCTCTTAGTAAAGGATTGCTTCTATCTAATCCTTTCTAGGGGATGTGAATACTTTGAAAGGTTCTGGTTGGAGGATTGCTCTTATCATACAATTAGGGGGGTGATATTTCTGGGTATCTGGTCGCTTCTATCTGCTCTTTTGGGGTTTCCTGAGAAGGGTTTCCATGTATAAACTCTCGGATTGGTGTTAGTTTGGTCTATCCTGCTAAGCTAGGTATCCTACGATCCGCGGCTCAAATATGTATCCATGGTACCGAGCATTCGTCGCTTCCAAGCATTAATCATACGTGATTTCCTTCGAATATATATTTCGTCCTCAATCCTCCCTCTCTTCAAACTCTTATTCCACAAACACATCCAAATTCTACTACAGTAGCGAGAAAACATATCGACATCATGGCCCTTACGATGATCCAACAGTCGTCCCGATTTGAATCGAACCAGCATTACAACACCATCAACCATTCACATCACCTCTGCCCACCTACAATGTCGGCTTCTGCTTCTTTTAGAGACTTCCCCCCTCTCCCCTCCCTCCGCCGCATCGATTCTGGCGCTTCAATCTCAACTTTCATCTGGCCACCAAAACTTCACGACATACATCAAACATCATATTTCGAGGGTAAGAACGACGTACCGTCCATGTCTCAGCAAATTTCCCCAAAGAGGCTGGAATCTCACATTGAAACCCAGTTATGCCAAGGTCTCACCCAGTCAGCCATCCTTCAACACTGGATGAAACGTCCCGGAAGTGAAATCCCTTTTTGCAGTGCTGCAGCAGTCGCAGCACTTCAAGACGCTGTTATCGTGTCTCTCGATGCCGAATGGTACGAGCATGACGACAACTTCATCACAGAACTCGGCGCCTCCGTTTTGGATCCGCGTTTTATCTCACAGCCCATTTCGTCCTCTGTGTGGGATATCCTCTCGAGCATGGAAAATCACCACGTCCGCATCAAACCGCATGCCCACCTTATCAACAGAGACCTCTGCAAAGGATATCCAGAGGCCTTCCAATTTGGCTGGACAACTTTCGTCCACGTCGATGAAGCAAGGGCTATGCTTCACGACATCTTCACCCGTCGGGACGAATTTGGCAATCTCCGTCCAGTCATATTCGTAGGCCACGCCATCGACAATGACTACGAGATCATCAAATCTCGCTTCGGCCTCGATCTTCAACAACTCGGCACTATTGTCGCTACAATCGACACGCAGATTCTTGCTGTCGAACACGGACTGATCGAACCATCCCGCAAGATGCGCCTCTCAAACCTGCTTGCCAAATATAACATCGAGGAACCTTATCTCCACAACGCAGGCAATGACATTGTATGCACGATGATCGCTGCATTCCTCATGGTTTGTTCTTCCCTTGAGAACAAGCTTCTTATTAACAAACTCTGCTACGCGGACCTCAAAACACGACTAAGAGCAGCTGGGGAAACTGCCGTATACGATCATAGATGTTACGGTACTACAAAATTCTGCGAGAAGTGTGATTCACAACATCACACGGCCTCGTTTTGTGGTGTGCGAGTCTTTAGCTGTGAGCATTGTATGAAGGATCCGCTGACGAAAGATGCGGCACTTACGCATAGGTCTGATAAATGCTTGAGGATAGTCAAAGAGGCGGCGTTATTGAGGTCACAGGGTAGTACTGGATATAGGGCTGGTGGTTCTAAACGCTCGAGTAGTCCGCCTTCCAATTGGAAGCCGCCATGTGACCACTGCATCGCAAGTACGGATCCAAGGCGATATAACGATAAAAACGCGTACTCGCACAGTACTGGGGAGTGTTTCTGGTTGCAGTAGAAAACAAATCAAAACATCAAAACTTTAGCATGTTCCACATTCTCTGAAGGCATCCTTTTGCACGTATCGGCCAAAGGCTAAGATACCATGATATTTTTCATTACCGTGATCACTTGCTTTATGAAATTCTCACGAGTTTGTGTCCGTTATCTGATCAAGGTGTGATTCACCCCGTCCACCGATACTGCGACGATGCAGCGAAGACTGACATCGCCTAAATACATCTGATACCTGAGCCGCTCGTTTCGTTCCGGAGCCTCTTCTCGCATATGGAGCAGGCAAAGTTTGGGAAATGTGAGTGGCTTATCATCGATTGTTGGGCATCGCTGTACCATAGTTGAACTAGATGTACCGAAGAACAACGAACCACTCACGGCTTTCTCAATCCAAACGAGCATCACGCGAAAGATGGGTTGTCAAATGAGATGAATCTCGAATAGGCAATCGGTGGTTTTGTTTGATACGACATGCAACACATTGTTCGTCGCTTCGCGAACGCGTTTAATCTTACCTTTTCTTGACCCATTCGCATTTCATCAGATTATTATATATTCTATCCTATCTCAATCAAATTTTCCACACAATTTTCACTCTCGCTCTCGCAACGAATCTGCATTCTGAACCTCTTCCATCCCAACCTTGGTCGCACTACCGGCTGGTACACCCCCAAATACCCCACACAGTTCTTCACGTACCAAACCCCTTCTCAAACGCAGAAAAGACTAGCGAAATCTCAGCATGTCTATCCTTCAAATGCCTACTGAGCTCGTCGAGGCCGTTGTACAACACATGTGCGACCCAGATCTCCTCGAATTCCGTTCGACTTGCAGATTTGCCGACTCGAACACTTTGCGCGCTGTAGGTCGTCGCTTCTTCTCCACGTTGAAGACTACTCTTATCGATTCCGATATCGATCGTCTAGAAAGGATTTCCCAAAGTGGCCGGTTAGCCAGATATGTTAAGACAATCCAAATCAAAGACGACGGGGCGAATATAAGAGAGCATCTTCGTCGAGCCACTCCGCCTCCAGAAGAGGGAATGCCGAAAGGATGGAAACTTCGTGAACAAAAGATCCGGAAGATGAGAAGAGCATGTCGCAGCTGGCCTCGCGAGAAGACAGCAACTCTGGACTTAGACATGATGGCCATTGGCAAGATACAGACCATACTCCAGGAAAATCGATTTCTGTTAGACGCTCTGATCATCCGAGGCGTCTATGAAAGCTTTGGTGCAGATAAAGAAGCTACCATCGCTCTCGCTCTAGAGATTGTCTCAACCGCAAACCTTGGAATCACTTCGCTTCGGATCGAGAATATCGGAATGTGGGTCACAAAGGTGACATTCCGTTTCCACCAGAAAACCCGGGACCAGAAAGCGGGTTTCAGCATACTTAGAGAGGCGAATGTGGAGATAGACAATGGTCCCACATCGATTTACCTTCTGAATCAACTCCTTTACCACGCACCAGTGTTGGAAGATCTAAGACTAGCGAATCTAGACGCAAGAGGGAGATGCGCAATGGTTCCATTCGACACATACGTAAATCGAGGAGTACCTTTGGTGAAGCTCAAGAGATTACGCCTGTCAAGATGGAGTTGTCCAGCAAGTTTTATCCAAAAGATTCTTGGCAACTCCAGACACACTCTGCAAGAGATAGAACTAGTATCTATCCTTTTAAACCATGGCACTGAGTGGGCGTGGAATGAGCTCCTGTTATATATTGGAAAAGGCTTTCCTGCTTTAAATCATTTCAATCTCGCGAGTCTTAAACATATGGGTCGGTCGTGGCTAGACTTTTCGGATATACCCGAGATGCTCGAGGCAACGTGTGAGGGGGAACTTGGAGCCTATAGCCTGTACCATGAGCAGGTCAAGTTCCGAGGGTTTAATGCTTCTCATGCTCTCCAGATTGTAGCATCCCATCTGAAAACATCAGGATAAGCAATAGCATAATGGAACAATCGAGGGGAAAGTGTCGCAATGTCATTATTTCTTGTCGCTTTCACCCGTTACGTCGAAGGACATGATACCTCAATGAAATCCCAGACTATTCCTTCAGAATCCCATTTAACAATCTTTACCTTTTGTTCCGCACCGTTCTCTGTCTCTTGTGTTTGTACACCTAAAGGAAGGAGTTCCTCTTCAACCAGCACCAACAGAACATATCCACCTTCTGGTCGTTTTCGCGGACAAATGTATTCCCAGTCCTTATGGTGGTCTACAAGACAGCGAAGATATCCATGTTGGTCGTAGCCTAGAAATCTAGCAGAGGCTGGGTCTCGAAACCCTAGCCATCCTTTCTTCTCAACGCACCGCCATCTGAACGTGCCGAGACCTCCCGGTTTGTCTAGTACGATTTTGCCGTCCAGGAATGTGATGACTTGTCCGTTCTCGTGAGATCGAATTATAAAGGTACGGCCGGGCCAAGGAGCAGAAGATTGTGAAGCTTCGCATCTTTGAATGTCCTTCGTTGTGTTGTCTGAGGTTACCGATGGCGTGCAAATGGTCGGAGCTTCGGACTCACTAACCGGAACGACATATGTGGGTTGTTCTTGCTCCATAACGAATTCGACTCAGTGGCCGCTTGCTTGTAGGGGGAATTCGAAGAGGGTACTGCACTGAATGCTGATCACCCGTGCGGATGACGCGTGATCGTGGTGGATGGTGAACGCAGTTAGATTGTCTCTTTTTAGAGCCACGATTGGAGAAACCAGGTATCTTAGGAGATTTGCCGAGTAGAGCGATTTAACGAGATTAGTGACTTTATGATAGCCAGGGCAGCTCAATCACGTCTGCAAGTCCTCAGGTTGAGAGGACGCCGTGCGCAATGCTGCGGGGTGTTGATTTTGGTGGGGCGGGTCCGAGCGGGAGCCGCCACAGCGATACCTGCATGTGATGTGAGTTGGTAACATGAACAACGTTTGTATGGCATGTGGAGTGCGCGTCGAGTTTGCTGCGTACAAACTTGAGGCGTCATTCCTGGTTATTCATCGGTACAGTAGAGAAGTATTGATACTTTCAATGCAGATTTATCTACCAGACACCTTATCTACTTACTCGCCATAACCTCTTCCATCCACGGATACACCGTACTATTCGCCTCAGGATATCCCATATGCAACCTCTGCTGCATAAACCGCATCTCCTTCGGGCTTCCATACTCAGCTAGCAGCATACTATCCTCGATTGGCATACACCCATCCAGCACCCCGTTCACGAGCAACAACCTACAACTCTTCATCCCCTGCGCCACAACAGCCACACCCTCGCCTTTCCCAGAGACGAGGGAGAACTCATCCTGGCATCTCTCCTTCATCTCTTCGAAAGAAGAATACCCGTATTTCTGCGTGTAGGCTTGTTCAAGCCCGAAAGGGTACTCGTGCTTGTCGATTTGCTCAAGCCACTCGCGGCCAATGTAGTGATGTGTTCCTGCACCATGGCCTACGCTACCGATGAGTTGGTTGCGGTGCGTGTGCGCGAGGCGAATAGCGTAGTAGCCACCGGCTGAGAGGCCCCATGCGATGACTTTCTTTTCGTCGAGATATGATGTCTCTTTGATAAAGTCTAGAATGCTGGTGAAGAATCGGTCTGGGGAGAGAGGGTCGCGCTTGTTGGCTGGACAATCGACGGTGGTGCCAGGAATGTCGCAGATCACTGTCGCCCAACCGCGGGCAAGATGTTCCTGTGTGCGCTCGGTGTTGTCTGGGCGGTGGCCGTCGAGGCCTGTAATCAGTAGGACGGTTGGGAATGGGCCGTCTCCTGTAGGTTTGCGGATGTACATTGGAATCTTTTCGCCATCACCGTTGGAGGCATGCTTATGTGATACTACGACCTCCTCTAGTGGGATATCCCATAGCTGTGCGCCGCGGAAGTAGACCTCTTTCTGCTCCTCAAAGACCTTCTTCTTGAGCTCGGTGCCGATATATGGAAATCTCGCCAATCTGTACACAGCGTTTGCATTCAGATACAACTTTTTTGCTGCCTCTTTGTCTTTGCCTTCCGTCTCTTGAGCCTCCTTCGCTAGGCGTTGCGCTGTTGGCAAGAAAGCATTTGTGTATGCATCGTCGTACGGATCATTGATATTGTTATCGATGAGATGCTTGAAAATGGGTTCAAAGTCTTCAAACTTTCCATCGTGGAACGGGTAAACACCTTTGGTGCATGGGAACTTCCAACGTTGTTCCCACAATTTCTGGATGCTGCCGCGATGTCCGTAGTCCTTTGTGAAGAGGTCGCCAAGAATCCAGTTTCCGTTAGGCATGATGTGAATATGGATATATCGCTCGAAGAACAAAATGCGACAAGATTCTCAAAGCAGGCTGTCAAGTCTATGCATGCTGTCGACGCGCATTCGTGCTTCGTATATACCACCCATTTCGGGATCGGCGGGGCCGGCTCGCCGTTTCAAACCCGTCCGGACGGGCCCCCGCAAAATGAATTACAGCTCCTTCGTACCTGAACGTTGAGCTTGCGATGAGGCTGAGACAAGTCCGGCTAAATGGTGCGGCAGAGCCACAGAACCCTGAATTCTTGTACATGGAGATGCATAACTCTCAGGGAAGCTCTTCTACTTCTTCGTCCTCTGCTCTGCGCTTGACGTACTCTCTGAGAACATGCACTAGTCTCATCCTACCCTCTCTCCTCTCAAAAACTTGTGCATGGTCTACGGTCGGCCACCATATCGTCTCTAAACCATGGCCTCTCCACTCGGAGTCCTTCCATGCTCGATCCTCACCCTTGAGGTCGGCGCTATTTAGGTATTTGCCGATTGTCTCAGTATCGACTATAAGGTCCCTACCACCGAGGCTGACAGTGACATCTCGGTCTTTGAGGTCCTCCTTCCACAGGATGTTTTGTGCCCAGAAAAATTGACGGGCTAGCGTTTGCGCAACCATCATGTCGGTCGAAGCGAAGTAATAGAGCTGATGCTCGTTCGCACCTTTTGGTCGACGTGCTGTGAAGTTGTATGCTACATCAGGCAGATGTAGTAGGAATGTAACAGGGTCGACAAAGACCATCGGTCCGATCTTCGCAGCGGTGATGGGGTCCCGGAGGAGGTGGGTGGAGATGACAGAACCGTAAGAGTGACTAGCCAGGACGACTTTGTCGAAAGCATGTCGTTCTAGGATGATATTAATCTGCCGGCAGATGTTGTCCTTGTCAGGAATCGGCCCAGTTATACGGAAGCTGACAGGCATGATTTCCACCGCAATAATTCCGACTTGACCGTCTTCTGCCGCAAGCGGATCGTGCTTGTTGATCTCGTTCAAGAACTCGACGTATGGGTGCAGGCCGATGCCAATGCCATGTACGAAGAGAATCGGCAGTCGTGTTTTCGAGGTATGTGGTCGGTACCAGTAACTCATGTCTGGTGCAGAGGAAATGCTGCGCGTGGTGAGACTGGCGAGCCGCGGTGGGAAGATGGCCAGCGAGGAGCGGAGCTGGGTGCGGAATAGTATGAAGCCATAGTAGCGCAGACGAGCGGCAGTGAGCGTATCGACAAGCATTACAATCTATCGCTGTCAGCGTGTATAACCTGAGTGGAGCATCAAGCATACCATATACCACAGAAAGGGCCGATGCGCCATATTGACTTGGTCGGTCGTCAATCGAAGGCTCTTTGCGCTACCCCATCCAGGCTCCAGCTTCCTCCCAAGCATCGTCTCTATGCCGTCTGCATACTCATTCAGCTCGTCGTCCTCAGCGTTGGCCTCCTCTGGGTGTGCCTGTCGCCGCTTCCTCCGCTCCTCGTCGCTTTCAGTGCCGCGGTTCAGCAAAGCCCACGCATAGAACTCGCGCACATTCTCACGTCGTATCTCGCCCGGCCGCGCGCCCAGGAACCATCGGCTGATATAATATTCCGGGTGCGGTATCTTATCCCAGCATCGCCAGAACAGTTCCTTCCTCTCCTCTTTCTCGAGCGGTTGTGGGTGTTGTGCAGAGGCTTGAAGCGCGCGCTTGCGGGGTAGATAGACGAGCAGCCAAAAGGCAGTTTCTATTATGCTCCACGTGAGCAGAAAACGTCGAAAGGCCGAATGTGGAGGTTCTGCGATGCTGAAAGAAACCCAGAAGATGCTAAAAGGCGTGATTGCGCGAAAGCCTAGGATGCATGTCCTGATGAGCAGGTACTTAGGGATTGTGTTTTCGATCATGGCGGTGGTGTGCTATGATCGCAGGTATTACCAAGTCAACCGCATTCTCTCGCAAGGCACAGCAGTCGTGTTGTCGTTATCATGGTGGGAGTTGTTGACGGCTGCACGGCAGGGTTGCGGCTTACAGCGGCCACCGATGACGCGGTTGCATGCGACATCGCCTTAGTCAGCCGCACATCACCTCTTTCGCAAGCAACACCGTATCCGGCATGATACACTTCCAGTTTATATTGTTTGCATCTATCCTAGACCCAGGGTATCTTCAACAAGACGTTTTTAGTCACCGTCTGAACACCGATAACGCCATGACACCGTCTAGTCTAAACAAGACATTTGCAAACTAGCACTCTAAACCATCTGTAGACCTCATTGCTACGCTCAATGAGAAGCCCATGTGAGGCCACCTTGTCCACCCTGTTGGAAATGGGACCCTCCTCGTCCCCGACCCCATGAGACATTTTCATATCCACCCTGCCCACGTCCCCCAAAGCCCCTGGAAGGGTTTCCTCCAGGGCTAAGTGGGACGTATCCGCGTCCGCCAGGAGGACCATAATTTGAGGGTGTGTCGTGCGACGTTCCTCCAAAGTATGATACGAGACCCGACGGAGGGTGAAAGCCACCACGTGCCATGAATCGAGCCCGGGAGCTGGACATTCCACGAGAAAGGTCCCTGGGCTTTGGTTTCTTGAGAGCTCGAGCCACAGCATCTTTTGCTCGCCGCACCTTAGCCTTTTCGTTGGCAATGCACATGCAATGAAGGGTGACGTGTTCATCACCAGGCTTGATGTAGCACCCGTTCTCTTCACATTCGTCGCAATGAAGGTCGGTTGCCGTGCAATCCGTCTTCATATGGCCAGCTGTGCCGCACTTCCAACAGTACTTATCGACACCTCCGAGGCTTTCATCGAATGTAGCCACGCTATGGTCCTCGAGATCGTCGGCAACCTCCAGCATGCTCTTACGGCATCCTCTCTTACATGGGTCTCCGCCGAGCGCGACTTGGAAGGCACACATTACCGTGCGACCCGCGTCATTCGCGGCGGTGTGGGAATCACTGTGTTCAAATGCAAGCTCTTCTACGAGGCGTCTGAGACCGATCTGCTCGTTTCGAGGCATCATCCAGTAACCTTTGTCGCGCGTCATGATTTGAGTATCAATGTAGCGTACGACTGTGCCGATCGGGTCCATGTCGAAAGCAATCGCCTTGGACTTGAGATTGTTCTTGTCGTGTCCAACGTCATGACCGAGGACTACGATAGGGTAGTTGCCCTTGAGTCCTTTGGGGTCCTTGATAGGCTGGACGAAGAGGTTGGTGAGGATCTCACGAGCTTGAGCGAAGGTAACAAAGCGGCCTTTACCAAAGCGATTCCCGTTGACCCCGCGTGAGTCCGGATTCTGATTGGGGAGGTGGCACGTCTCAATCGTACGAAAGAGATAGAAGCGGATCTGCTCCATGAGATGCTCTCCGTGATCACCAAAGTCTTTTGTCGCCACGATGGGCAGAACATCTTGTCGCGCGAAAGTAGCAATACCGACCTCGGTGGTCTCATCGGTGTTGGTCGACCAGTGTTCGCAGTCCAGACAGACGATGTTGACATGGTCTGCGAGGTCATCGGCGATGCCAGGGATGTTCTTGATGCGCGGTCCTCCGATGCAATGCAGCCATACCTCTAGGTCGGTGGCTTTCTCGAAGCAGCTTTCTAGTGCGATAATAGCAGGATCGCGCGTATCTGGTATGGTGGGTATGGTGGATGCGGAAGGAGTAGCAACGACAGGAACAGGTGTGTCTTGAGCGCTGGTGGACATGACCACGTTGCTCCAAAGGGATAGTAGATGCGTACAGAGTGGTCCTCGGTGGGTATTTGGTTGCGACAGGTGCAATCAACTATAGCGTGTGGTGTCTATTGTAAACTGGCGGTGTCAATTCGGCGGTGTCGCTTGGGGTGAGGTTGAAGTCGTCAAAGTCGTCGATTGATATCGCGGCAAACAAAAGGAGTGGGTTGAGAGACAGGCAGTGGGTATGACTGTGGGTGCCCATGAGAAAGCAAGACGACCAGGTGTTTTATGGACGATGAACAGTGAACGTGCGTAATCATGTGCCTCCATCAATCCTGCCAGGCAAACACGATGGCCATAGCCAGACGAAGGTGAGAGTGAAAGAGAAAGAAATTCGATCATATGGTCGTATTAGGTCAAAAGAATGCGCCAGGGTTGGGTACTTGTACAGCTTCCACGGAGCTACGAAGTGTCGAGGGTCGCGTGAACAGGAAGCAAAATACCACTATGTCAGCTAGGATGTTGTCGAGACGACTTAGAAGTTATGGTCCCTCATAGCCTGTTCGACGGCGGTGTGCAGGCGGGCAATTTCTTGCTATACACTATTTATTGCCTGCACACCGACGTTTCAATTCTTCCCGTCAATCTGCACGGATTGAACTTCTCTGGAATCAGCATCGCAGCGTATATCAGCAGCGACTCGTAATTTCGAAATTCATAAGTATTGGCATGAATTCTTGACATACATCTATAGGTACTACAACTGGCTGGACACACGTCGACCATCTTTAAGACTGCTCAGATTGAAGCAACAAGTCCAATGTCCACTATTATACCAACAAGGAGGAAACATTCAACGAGAAGATATCAAGTGTAATGCAGTACTATGTAATCCCATAAGCCGGCCTGATAACTACCAATTGTCGCTTGCGAGATCCAAGCCAGCGAGAGCGGTAGCCGTAGTCTCGACTGTAGGAACCACTTCCGACCCACGCATCGCATAAGAGATGCAGCACTCCGTTCGATGACTACCCGCGGCCTGCCTGCGTTTCGCAACCTGAGAAGCAGTACAGTGGCTACACTTGACCTTGGCGAAACAACGCTTGCCGCGATAGTCGTCCCTCGTGTGACCGTATTGGCCGCACCGAAGACACCACTGATCATCACCCCAATCCCATTCTTGCCACTGGCTATCCACCTCGATGTTGTCAACAACCTTCTGCAGGCCCCCGTCATCTGGCTTCAACTCGGAAGGAAGCAGCATCTGAACAGCAGAGATGAGCGTCATAGCCGCGTCGTTGCCAGCGGTATGCGGATCTCGATATTCGAAACTGCATTTGGCAACGAGATTACCCAGACCGATCTGATTGCCGTTGCCAGAAGGGGCGTATTCGCACTCCTTGGCCAAATTCTGAGTATCGATGACCTTAACCACCGTACCCAAAGCCATGGCATCGAAGCCCAATGTGGATTTCAGCATCGCCATATCACCATGGAGAGCATGGCCCAACACCACAACGGGACAGAAACCCAACTCTGGATTTTGCTTATCGACAGGCCACTGGAACGTTTCCTCGAGCATCTCCTTGGTCTGACTCTTGGTCAAGAAGCGAGTCTGACCATAGTGGTTCCTGGTTTTCTGTCAGTTCATGTTACATGGAAAAGAAATAGATGTAGTCAAGACTTACTTGTCAGGATCGCCAACACAGTACTTGATATTACGCAGATATGCGTTCTCCAAGATCCGCGCATGGTAGAAATAAACCTGCCTAAGCAGGTTCTCTCCATGCATACCAGACTCCTTCAGTCCACGCGTATGCCGAGAGTCGAAGGTCGAGACACCAAGCTCGGTGAGTCGGCCGTGGTCGGCAACCCAACTCTCGGTGTCGAAGCTTACGACGATCATGTTTTCGGCAGCCGAGGGTACGCCTTCGAGTGTGGAGAGACCGAGACAGTGGGAGAGGACTTCGCGGCCGGTCTTCAGGGTTAGGGCTGCTGCGAGCTGTTGGGTCTCGGAAGGTGGAGGGGAGAAAGATGGGGTGCTGCCATGATCTGGGCTGACAGAGCGAGAGAGGTTCGAGGTAGACATCTTGCTGATTTAGAGAGGTATTATTGTAAGTCGTTGTTGATGCACGAGGGCTGAAGTACTCAAGAAAGATTTGGTGTAGAAAGGAAGAAGTGATGGAAGTCGAGTTTATAAGATAGTACAGTACTCGATTTATTCCTTCCGACTGTGGTTGATTTGTTACTTCCAAGTATGGTTCACAGTACCAGATCAAGGCCACAAGGGTTATATACATTGGCAAGTGTGAAGAACCAGGGCCGTGCTGTACAGCGAGTCGAATGCTTAGGCCAATTACTCATGACCAATGCAATTCACGGGGCTGCCTGGCTGACCCAAATTCGTAGTGCGTTGGAACTACCTCCTCAAAGCAGTGCAAGAAATTACCAAAGCGCATTCTGTAGATGGAAACTCTGGCAAGTCGCACAATGGTAGCCGTCCACTGGTACAGTCACGATCCATAGAGAGAAGCGGGCCACTTGCAACTTCCACAAACCAAGCGATAATGTTGATTAGGTATACTCATCATAATGGTGTAAGCTACTAATATCACAAACGTGGTCAGGCTTTAGAGCTTTTTATACCATGATCAAACTCACGAGTATGCAGGGCTAGATTTAACCTTTTCAACGCGACTAAGTTCTGTGCTTGCTCGCTTAACAACAGTATATGTATATCAATGCGTACAGTCACATGAACAAAGTTGTATTGATTAGGTAGCAGAACGGGTGAATCTCTTCATTGTTCGCTCGAGGCGAGACTATGACCATGAGATGGAGACTTTCCAGAATGGACAAACCCGCGCCTTATGGTTACACGATGCCGCGTAATTTTTGGCAGTAAAGCACCTTGAACAACGGGCCGAAGCCTGAGACAAGCGACACCAGCGGCGCCGATGGTTACGGCTTCCACGCTGTGTACAAAACATCTCTCTATCCCAATCGGGTATGAGGCTTTGGCTCTGAAGTATCGCGAGATTTACAACAGATGCAATGCTTTCCTTTGCGAGCGGAATCTTTGGGCGCATGACCATATGAACAGCATCGATCAGAGTGTACGTTCGTCGGCCAATGGTCCCTTTCCGTTTGGACGTGAAATATGAAGCGCGCTTGCTTCAACTAGCGCGTGAACAGACGGTGTTTGGCCTATACTGTTCTTTCTTGAGGCCTTGTGCGTCTAGGATGTACTTTCCCAATGAAGTGTTAAGGGGTAAGTTGCAATCCGCTCAGCTCTTCTGTATCTTCAAGCATTTGTTGAATAGTACATAGGGGGAGAGAGTGCGTACTGCGCAAAGTTTCGAATATCCACGATCAAAGTGGTGAGCACATATCGTGCGATACTTTGATTCAACGTATTGTTACTATGCATGTAGTGCTCACTGACTGACACAGTGTGAAACCATGTTTCTAGCATCTCGGAAGAAGACGTGTCCAATGTACACCCCGAGAACAAGTCTCAAAACATAGCATCCGTCGACGTTGGATGGCCTAATACCAGTAGTAAAGCCTTCGTTGAGTATATGCTGCGAGATACAGTGCCAACATAGCTGTGCGCGGTTTACTGGCGTGCGTCAGTTCTGGTGCAGGAAAAGCAGCCGGTGGTTTGCTATGGGTCATCTGAATCAGATCCCGAGGTGCAACTTTGCCCAGCAACTCCACGCTGCCATGAGATAGAAGCTCGACACGCCTCGCGCGGAGATGTCATTTGTGGAAATGCAAGCGTCACATGAGGAAGGAGATTTCTGGCGTGATGTCATGGGACCAGCCACGCGTGGCGGGCCGTGCGCGCTCTGCAGCGCGTCCGCCCCTGGACTGTTGTATCATCCGCCGCCGTTCTTTCGTTCTCACGACCTTGCACGTACAGACACTGTATCCTCATGTTTAGAGCAAATCCAAAGTCCGACCCTTCAGGCAACATTTCCTTTGTATCCTTTCCAGTGCCCTGACTGAGGATCGGCAGCTCCACAAGCTCCCCCGCATTCCAGCGAGTCAGGCCATCTCCACGTGTTCGCAGCGAAAGTTGCAAAGTACCTCGCGCATGGATACTTCGTCCGCTCTATCTCGTATCGATACCTTGATATCAGATATGCCAATGGATGAGGACAGTAAGAGCGCAGTACCATGCGACAGACTGAGCACTTTGCCAGATGAGCTGCTACTCCGCATCTTCGAGGCGGTCGGCTGCATATCCAGGCGCGACCTTTGCAACGTATCGCGCGTCAACAAGAGATGTCACCGCCTCAGTGACGCCGTTCTGTACAAAAGCATTCTGTTCGAGACTCCTGAATTCCACCTCACATTCAGCGAGTCATTAAGCCGTCGACCGCGTCGTGGCTCATCCATCTATGAAGTCAAACTCGCGTATCCTTCTTCAGAGCTATCGCAACTGGCGCTTGACGCGCCCGTCCATGGTTCATATCTCGATCCAAAGACCTCAGACACCCTCTCGCGGACGTTGTCGATCATGTCAAATTTGGAGAAGCTCGAGATATCGGTTCCCGATGTGCTCTTACACGGTATCGGTACCTTGTTCAACGGACCTTTCGACCTTGCCTGCTTGAAGAACTGCTCACTATTCTATCAGTGCGCTAACGATGCTTACTGGGACCTGCGCGAAAACATACATATCTTTGCTCACCCCACGTTGGAAACCTTGACAATTCGCAGAGCCAAGTTAGACGAGAAGGGCTTCGATCACATCGAGCGGCCGCATATGACAGCACTGAAACAGCTGCATCTGATTGAATGCGACATCAACGACGATTCTCTTGGAGATTTGCTCGAACTACCCGAGGCGCTCGAAGAATTTGTCATGACGCAAGCGGAGGTGCCAGAGCCAGACCTTGAGGAAAGCTCCGATAATGTTGGAGACTACATATTGGCTGCGCAATCACAAGCCGAATTCCTAAAGAGCATCACTATCGATCACCCAACGCTTACCGGGCGCAAGGTCCTACGTATGAGAGAGTTTGCGGCGCTCAAGACATTACGTCTGAATTGGGATTACCAGCTATTTGGAAAGTCGTCTAAGAAGCCGCGTCTTCATTCCGTTGGTCTTCCGCCGGTAATGGAAACGCTTGAGTTTTTCAACGAGCTGGGAAGCGATACTGAAGTCACGGACCTTCTACTGGCCACCATTGAGCAGAAAGACATTGTTGCAAGGAACTGGAAGACTATGGTGGTGGTTGAGGGCGAAGAGGGAGTATCAAAGGAGATCAAAGATGCCTGCAAGACGGCGGGGTTGAAATTAGACATTATCGGAGCCATGGACGATGATTCCGAGTTGGACGACGATGCAGACATGGAGGAAGACTCTGAATCAGAAAGTGAATAGAGCGTTGCTTATTGCTCAACGCAATAATAATCTTTATACAACGCAACCTTACTAGCAATTTTATTGCAATAGCAGCGTGTATCTACCCTTCGCGATGATCTTCGCCTTTTTGCCTTTGCCTGCTTTTCTGCTCGCCTTTCCAAGCGCTTTCCGCTTCTTCATTTGCTTCCTGTCTCGTTCGCCTTCCTTCCTATCCTCATCTTCCCTGTTCCTTCGTCTTCTGCTATCTCTCCAACCCTCTAGATATAGCCAGATCTGTCGCAATATACAAATCAATACCGTTACAATGTTGTCCGCCTTCAGTTTGACATGTGCCGCGGGTATGTAAGAGAACTTCGGCATCGGAATAGACGTAAGAAGGGTTAATGGTAAGCTTGCTATGCGCGTTAATGTGGTGGTTGTGCTATTCATGATCTGGAGCGCACTTTTGTGTCAGGTCATACCATGGGTATGGCAAGTTGGAGTCTTTCAGTAAATCGCAATATATGTGTAGTCTTCTATGCGTGTTTGTCATTCAAATGACAGGACATAATGACAAGGTCAGGAGGTATTTACTATATGGTTAGGTATTTATGTACAGCCGCCGAGGATGTGAAGTACATCAGTCCTATATATACCGCCTATAGTTCAGCTGTGCACTATCAGTTAGATGGCTTTTGTTCATGCAAGAAGATTTTGCCCATCAAAGGTCGGGTGGCCCCTGAAGCCACGTTGACTGCCACCACGGCCTCCACGACCGCCTCAACGACCACAATAATTCCCACGTCCATGACCTTGACCTCGACTTTGGTAATCAAGGCGTAGGTATCGACCCTACTCCGTATTTCCCAGATGCTGTCCTCGATGTCTTCGAGACGTATGGGGAAGGTCTCCCTTACTGCTACTGCCGTATGGTTGCCAATTCTTCATGGTAATACCCACATTACAAACAAGAATTTGCTCCGCGGTACTTCAGGTGCGGCGATTATATTTCATTAGTACGAGGTTTGTGATTTGCGCTGCAATAGTTAAGGTAATCTCCGTCACAGTGCAAGATCTCTTAACATCTTCATTCAGATATCGTGTTTCGCTTTGCCACTCTGTGTTTGGGCTTTTCCGTTTGCGTCGTTCACCATTACATTCGCGGGTAGTTCAATGGGTTTGCTGTCATCGAAGGTTGGCTGTAGTCCGTCAGACTTTCCATCTTCATCACAAATATTCCAATGACGGCACCTACCGCTGCCACGTATCCGTCCAGCTGTTGCGCTGGCAAAGGCTCAGGTCTTTCGCCTCCTTGCAGTTCTAATGGCCCAGTATTTTGCTGATAGTTTTGTAGCTCTGACGGGCCGGTATATTCGTATTGTTGTTTGTTTTGCAGCTCTGTCCGTAGAGGCTCCTGTCCTGCATAAGGCGGTTCATGTCCATTGCTTGGCGCGCCTGCAGGCGCGATATACTGGGCGCCAACAAATGGCGTGCGCTCTTCTTGCATCCTGCGCATGGCCCTCTCGCGCCTCCGCTGTTTGCTACATATTTTGAAGAAGATGATGGTGCAGAAGACGCCAGAAAGGAACAAAACAACAAGAATGATGACGGCTACAGTGCCTTGGAGCGAGAGATTTGCGCTGCGACGCTGTAGGGGTGCCATGGTGTTTTGCGCTTCGGTCGAGATCGTGAAGGCGGGCTGAAGTACGAAGAACACGAAAGGACCGAAGTTGCGAAATGTCACCACGCAATGGGGGCCTGAGGTGTACTTAAACCAGACACAACTGGAGTGGGACAGACCCGAAACCCATGCATGCCACGGCACAGATCCTTTGCACTGGCATGGATGTGATGGAGATGTCGGGCGTACTTTGGGGGCCTAAATGGCGGCGCGAGGCTGATTCATAGGTGTTTGGGCAGATCATCTGCCCCAACCAGAACCGCCGGAGTCTACAGTGACGATACAAGCGAATGGGATCCAATTAGAAAGTTCTTCACAGGACGCTCTGATGATGTCTTTTTGGATGTCTCGCCAACAGTGCCCGTCCACGATCCTGGTGTAGGATGCCTCATGCTGTTCAAGCCAAACACCACCTCCTGATAATACAACATGCCGCTCTTGACCATTTTTATGATATCAGTAAGGGTTGATGGTGGTATCCAGGGCTTACGATTATTATGCCAGTGATGTGTGAGGTTGTCGAGAATGCGGTGGTAGATACGCTTCAGCCGCTTGCATTAGCGTATACTAAATTGGTTGATGACGCGCGATTCGATCCAGGGCGACATGACGTCTAACATCTAACCAGCGCGAAGAATCCAGTAGCGTACACACTGAAAATCGCAAACCCTTCGTCTCCTTATATTTACAGTCGCCATGGTGCAACAACGGTGAACTGCTCTCTATGCGCGAAGCTCGGTTACGTTCTCCCCCTCCCACGTTTTTCGCGATCACGCGCCGGCGCTGTTCCACCACACCCCACGCACTTCTGCCTGTGCGACCACCTATCGCATAATTGATTAGCCATACTCGGTCCTGTCGCATCAAACGCACAAATCTTCAGACGGATTGACTGCGCGACAAATTCCATCAGTTCAAAGTTCAGTTTGAGTATGCACTCGCTGTACAGACACATAAGAAGACGTCAATACTACAAGAACCAAAATGGATGAGGATCTACGTCTGCTCGAGGTAAGGGCACTACTAAGTACTGCTGCACGAGGTTGCTAACGGTAATGCGATCCACAGCAGGAATACTGCCCAGCAATAGATCCCACACTACTGTATACGATATACTCGGATTTCGCGGGAGAGCCAAACGCGATTGACCTTACTAGACAATTGCTGGAACCCTTGAAGTTGACAGCCGAGGCAGAAGTCCTCGATTTCGACCCCTCGGGCAGCAGTGGAGGCGCTTTTCAGGGTAGCCCAGACAAGCACAGCACCGATGCTGACTCCAACGCTGAATCGTGGACCACGCAAACGGTAGCCACGGACCGCTCGACTTTCTCGAACGAATTCTCCACACTTAGCGTTAACGGACGGTCAGGGAGTTCGGAAGGGTCGTTGGAGGATGGATACTACAAAGACACCGAGCAATTCGACGTCCCGACAAAGGAGCTGTTGCTCGCCGAAACCTTCCCAGGTCTGCGGCTCGCACAGGTGACGTATACGTTGAAGAAATGCGGATACGACTACGATAAAGCGACGGATGAACTGTTGAACCAAGTCTTCTTTGACGATAGTAGGAAGAGCCCTACTGAAGAAGGTCCGATCGCGAAGGGGATTGAGGCCTTCTCAGAAGATCACCACGTCCCGCAGAAAGGCAAAAAGGGGAAGAGCAAGAAGAAGCAGAGGTTATCTCTGGAAGCAGGTACTAGCCATTTTGTCGAATCAGATGCGCCAGCAAATCGTTGGCAAAGCACAAGTCGCGACGTGGACTTCATAACATCGCGTACAGGGCTGTCGGCGAAGGCTGTGTCGTCACTTTACCACGCAAACGGAACTTCTCTTTCGGCAACTGTACTAGCGATCGTAAGGAAAGACATCGCAGCGCACAAGAAGGAAAGTCAGCCCGACGCTGCGCTAGTGCAAGACGCGATCACACTCAACGAAGCCTTTCCGTCTATGGACTTGGAGCATGCTCTTGCCATAGTACGCCTCACTGCCCCATCAACGATAAAAGCCCAGGAATTAGCAAAGTCCCTCACTCAACAACCTGCAAGCGAAACGGGCGGCAAGGGTGGCATCAAGCTCGACATACGATACGCTCCTGTCGATCTATCCGACCCTTCCGAATCCTCGAAGCTTCCTACCTTGACTCCCTCTGCCCGGCCACGTGACGCAATGTCCACGGCCGCTGCTCGAAACGAAGCTTTTGGAAAAGCATCTGGAGCCTACCGTAAAGGCAAATCCACACCACTCATGAGACAAGCAGCTGCGTACTACGCACAAGAAGGCCGTGACCTAAACGCGAATCTGAAGGCGATGAACGCAGCCGAAGCCGACGCATTCGTTTCGCAACAATCTGGTCCTACTGATCTGGATCTGCATGGCGTCACTGTGGCAGATGCAACAAGAATTGCCAAGCAACGAACGCAAGCTTGGTGGAATAACCTAGGCGAGCGGAGAATACCAGAATGGAGTGGTGCTGGGAGGAGAGGAGGGGGTGAGGCATACAGAATCATCACTGGCTTAGGCAGACACAGCGAGGGTGGAAGAGGAAAGCTAGGGCCTGCTGTGCTCAAGGCGCTAGTCAATGAAGGCTGGAAGGTAGAAGCGGAGCCTGGAGAACTATACGTTACGGGCCTGGCAAGAAGAAGATGACGTAGTTTGCATGTTTAGGCGTGATCTTGGAGCATTTCAGCAATGTATCGGGCTCGACGTTTTTTGGAGCACACACCATAACATCACCATACCACTAGCGTTTTGTCGTGATTTAGCAAAGCGCTGTAATTGATTGCGATCGACTAAGGGATCAAAAGGACTTCTGAAAATACAAGACTTTTGGCCCTCACACGTTGTTCTTTCTAACAACCAGAACCAATTTCCGATGCTATCGACGCAGAATTCATTTAGTATATACTTTTGAAATATCGAACAAATCAGGTACGGAACGAGGCTTTGTTATCGTAGCGCGAGGATTCTGATCGGCTCAACGCCCTTGGCTACGACTCAGAGAGGTCAATCAAACTTGAGCCATGGGAATACATCCCGACGACGCAATTCGACGTTGGAATATATGTGGTATCATCTCACGTCTATGGTATTCTTCCATGGTGTGAGACCACGAAGTTGGGTGATCGAATGGTGAAATGTCTGTGTAATCACTGTCGAGCTCTCTACTGAGCTGTGTGGCCTATGCTAGGCAAACGCATAGGCACGTGCACCACAGGTACAAGTCCCTGCCGTCACACATGTTTTGAGTTTCGTAGTTTCTCCAAGGCCTCAATCACTTCCGATCTCGACGCTGTGCCACCGAGATTTCGCAGGGCGTGCAGAGCAGCTAGATGGTCCGACTCATTGCATGCCCCGGTAGCGTCACTTATGGTAGTGACGGCGAAGTCCAGTTGATAGCCTTGCGAAGCTGCCGTCCTTGTAATAGAAGCCGTTCTGCATATCGACCACTATGAGCGCTGGACTGGAGTCGAACTGGGTCATTATAGAAGGTCTTTTTGGAGGAAATCGGTCTTCAGGTCTTGCTTATTGCGCCAGGTGAAGTGCTACGGCCTCCCTACCCTTGAGGCTAGCGGCGCGCTAAACATTCAAGCTTCGCTGGACTCCACTCGCCGTCCGCTGTCCTCATCTTTGTCACTTCTCCCTCAAACTAAATCGATCCCGAAACGTTCAACAACATGTCAAAAACGCTCTCGCACATCGTCTGTCACAGTTGTAAGGCCGAACCTTAGATCTGCCTTAGTTTCAAAACCAAAACACACGTTTTTAACCGGAGAAATAACGCGCCAAGCTGTCGTTTCACGGGAGCTGCGACAGAAACAGCAACACCATTATTTGGAAGCAACGTCAACGGTTGATTATGAGCACGTAGAGGAATACCAGATCATCACGTTTGTTACGATACCATTGAGCGCGAGAGGGATACCGCTCTCGTTTGAATCCAGGAGTCAACACGGTGTGCGGTCGTCCCATAGGGATCTCATGCTACGCCAAGACCCAGCGTACGGTTGAGCTCCAGGTCGCACATGGAACAAGCAATCACGTGTTTTGTATAATGCGGGGACCCAGTTACATGACCAGTGTTTCGCCTTTCTCACATCGAAGTTGCAGACTACGGCAGAGTAAGCTCGCGCAACAGCATGATGGCCTCAGGGCATGCAATACTTCCTGCACGCATTGCTACAGCCTCACACTTACCACCATGATCGACAAAACGATCTGCTGGAGGGCCAGAACACGTCAGCTGTTTGATACCGGACGTCCTCTCCCCGATCGGGCCTTTCCCCATGGGTGATGATATATAGAGGTAATGTCTTGCCTAATCATGGAATCATTCTTCAGTTCGATACTTGTTGAACATCTCAGTCCTTGTTCTCTACTTCTCCTCATCAACTTCCCTTGTACATATCGCTGCTAGTCGGCTTTAATTTCTCCACACACTCTCTATACACTTCACTGCCGGGCAGTTCATCTCAATCTTTCTCAACTATCAACATGAAATTCGACTCCTCCATTCTCATCGCCTCTTTGGCTGCCTCCGCTGTTGCGGCTCCGGCTCCTTTCACCAACGCTGGTCTTGGAAAGCGATGGGTTGACACCACTGGTGGACAGAAGATGCCCGCACACTTCGTCTCCACCGTCCGCAAGCTTTCCACCGAAAAGCTCAAGACCAAGCGTCAGCTTGACCAACTCCTCGGTGGATTGACTGGAGGAGCCGGCGGAGCAGGAGGTGCCGCTGGCGGTGCTGGCGGCGCTGGAGGACTTGGAGACCTCCTTGGCGGCCTTACTGGCGGTGCGGGTGGCGGCAACGCAGCAGGTGGAGCTGCGGGTGGAGCAGCAGGCGGAGCTGGAGGTCTTGGTGACCTTCTTGGTGGACTGATGGGCGGCGGCGCTGCTGGTGGCAACGCTGCTACTGCTGGAGCTGCCAACACTGCCGGCGCTGCTAACACTGCCGGTACTGCCAACACTGCTGCTGCCGGCGCCGCGAACGGCAACGGCAAGGGCAAGGGAAAGGGTAAGGGTAAGGGCAACAAGGGTGCCGCTGGTGCCAACGTAAGTACTTATCATTTCGAACTTTTCACGCATGCTAACTCTCTCCAGGGCGCCGCCAACAACGGCACAGCCGCAGCAGGTGGTAGCACTGGTGCTAATGGTCAGGCTGGAAACGGCCAGGCTAACCTTCCCACTGCCGGTAAGTTGTCTAAGATTTCATGACCTCAAGCATAGACACTGACACATTCTAGGTGCTGGTCAAGGCCAACAGGCCGCCGGAGCTGCCACTCCCCCTACTCCTCCCACTGCTGGTCTCGCTGGTAACGCAGCACCCCCGGCACCCCCAGCTCCTCCTGCCAACGGTGCTGCCCCTCCCGCCCCTCCCGCCCCTCTTGCAAGCGGTGCTGCCCCTCCTGCTCCCCCAGCTGGTGGAGCTGCTCTTCCCGTTCCTGGCCAGCAGACTGGTACTGGTGCTGCAGGAACTGGCTCAACAGGAACTGGCTCTGCTACTGGTGTTCAGCAAGGAACTGGTGCTGCGGGTACTGGCTCTACTACTGGAACTCAGCAAGGAACCGGCCAGCTTACCCAGGGTGGCTCGGCCGGTACTGGCGCTGGACAGTCTACCACTGGCTCCACTACTGGGACTGGTGCGGCCACTGGCAACGGTGCTACTGGTAACACTGGTGCTAACACTGGCGCTACTTCCAACACTGGTGCTACTTCCAACACTGGTGCCACTGGCGCTACCGGTGCTTCTTCCAGCACTGGCGCTTCTACTGGAGCTTCCAACGGAGCTTCTGGCAACGGAAAGGCCTCAGGCAGCAAGAGCCAGTCTGCTGCTGACGCCGACTCCGCTCTCGCCGATTCCCAAGAGGAGGACTAGATCAATACTATGGCGAGTAGTTTGTTGGCACACATACCTTCGAAATGCAGGATGTGAGGAAATGAGACGATTGTACCGCAACAAGGTATTTGGTTTGGCTATGTAATGATAGAGACTGGAATAGTTTGGGGCTCACGATCATTTAACGGATAATGCTATTTACATTTAACGCGGAGTCTTTTGTCGTTAGGGATCTTGAGAGAAAGGTACTTGCAAACAGCAAATACACGATATACATACGTTTTGACCATTAGCATTTTTGGATAACACTCCCTTAATTTGTATGCGTGTAGTGATGTCATTGGTCAGCTTTGTGGCTGCAGCCTGATCCCAGTGAGGCAGTGCAGAAACTTGGCTGGGTCAACCTCCAACTTCCTATACCTTGCTGCAGTCCAGGTTTAACGATACATCCTCTCTCTGTTCAATATAGTCACAGAACCCCCATCCAGCAACCTCCGTCAATGCATCATGACTACTCACATATTTCATGAACAATTTCCGCTTCCATCGGACGAGAAGAGTATCAGAGTACTCTGCATACAACCGGGTGTCAGAGGTACTACAATCGAAGCTTCAATATGCAAGATAGATCTCAATGATCCAGAACGAGTGCCATACACTGCTCTCTCATATACATGGGGCAATGCTGCGATTGTCAACCATGTCCTGGTCAACAACGAGAAGATAGGAGTTGGAGCAAATTTGTTTCAGGCACTGCAGGACATCCGCTCCCCCGATGAATCGATCGTCATTTGGGTGGATGCCATTTGCATCGATCAAACGGACAACATTGAGAAGTCTCACCAAGTATCGCATATGGGCCTGGTTTATAAATTGTGCGAACAAGTGTACATCTGGCTTGGTTCTCCAGAAGACTCCGATCCGGTGGGAAGCAACCCTTTCGCGCTTGTGGAACATTTCGCAGCCGACAAGCATTTCTATGAACTCCCAGGCTATCATAAAGACCAATCCGCTAATACCTGGAAATTGGACACCAACAACGCAGAGTTCATTTCCATTTGGGAAGGATTTGGACTTCTTGCTAGAAGTCCATGGTGGCACAGGGCTTGGACGGTACAGGAGGCCATTCTACCAGATCAAGTGGTCGTCACGTATGATACATGGAGAAACCCCTGGAAGAGTTTCGAATTGTTTCGGAAAAACCTGCAGAACAAGTTTCCTAGTCATGCCTCCGGTTGCTGTTACGACGCTTATCAGTCGATCAGCGTGAGTGGAATGAGGGCCATGGTCCATGTAAGGGGCTACATTCAGACGTTAGAAGGATCGCGTCGTGTATTACGGGGCTTCAAGACATTTTACGAGGTCAGCTTTGCCTATATGAATCGACAATGCTCCAACCCTCTAGACAAGATATACTCTCTCCTAGGATTACCTGGCTCATCCAAAATCGAACTGTACCCAGATTACACGAAGGAAGTGCCAGAGGTGTATGTGGAGGCTTTTTGTAAGATGCTAGAAGAAACCGGGATGAGTCCTCGGTGCCTACTTGGCGAAGGATTCAATAGCGAAAGGTTCAACCTGCCTTCCTGGGTGCGTGACTTCTCTGCAGTCTTCAATCCGGCATTTCAGCTTCAACGCATCCATTCGAATTATTATCGCTACAAAGCCTGTGGAGGTCTGTCTGGGAGGCTTGAAGTGAAGGACCGGAAGCAATTACTGACGAATGGAATTCTCATCGATCGAGTAAAAGCCGTGGCCAAGTGGACATATAACTGGGAGTCGACAAACTTTGGGAAGATTCTCCACAAGTGGCGCCGCACTTGCGATAAAAATGGAGTCTCAGTTAGAACCGATGAATCAGTTGACGCCTTTGCCAGAGTTTTGTGTGGCGGCGTTATCCACCGGGAATATGGCCGCTTAGAACTGCTTGAGGAGAATGATGTCGATCTCCCCACTGATAGCGAATGGAGCCAGTTTTGGGCAACGGGCGACATAGACGCATTTGCCAGGAAGTACAGAAAAGCTTGTGTAAATTCATTGCAAGGGAGGTTACTTTATGTGACATTTTCAGGTCGTGTTGGTCTATCATTCCCAAATATCAAGGTCGGAGATGAAGTCTGGGTAATCCACGGTTCTAATGTACCGTTCATACTGCGGAGACAGTCTGAATCACCAGTACAACACCGACTGGTTGAAGAAACATACTTGCAAGGTGTAATGGATGGAAGCTGTGCTAGGGGAAATGACAGCGTAAGAGTGGTCTTAGTGTGAGCAATGCATACTTTGGTATCATCGACTTTATCCCGTGATGTTATGGTGACGCAGAACAGATAACCCATTAACAGCTTCCGTGACACGTAACATGGATACACTCTGAAACCGCAGCAGTGAGCGATACCGGAAAACAAGGCATTTACTACGCTAACTCACATCTTTCTGGTAGGGTTTGCTACAACAGTTGGCCTTCTGACAACACGATTGAACGTAGAGTTCGATAGCATCTAGTATACTCTCAGTAAATCCATAACGTGATTGGCAATGAGTGCATACTGAAAACAACGCTTTGGATATAGAACATCTACATCAGCGACAATCAAACCCAACACAACAGGCTAGTCATGAATCCCCTTACGATTCTAAAGTCTGAATTGATACAGACTGAACTACCTACACTCAGAAACACCCCCATCCCGTCCATCCCCTAACTTTACAATGCATACTAAAAACCCACGAACATCGTCGTGGTAAAGGCGTTAAATCTATGCATGTCCTAGCAAAGAAGAAAAAAAGCATAAAACTATGTCCCCTGGCGCCCCGTACGGAAAAAGCCCCAGGGTATCCCATGTTCTTCCTGCCCTACTCCTACCATGCTCCCACAATTCCATCCTCCTCATTTCCCACTAGTGTAACCGTCACTTCTACCACCACCCACTCATCCAGCAGTCTAAGAGAGGTGGAAAGCCCCCTGGCCCTCCCTTATAGCCACACTAAGCTTCTCGCGCAGAATCTCAACAGTGCTGTAATCCGGCATCTTCAGGTAATTGACGCACGTCATGACAGAAGGCAGGTAGTCATCGGATGTGAAGGGTGGTTCGCTGGGCTTGCATACAACCGTAAACATTGGCGTGAGAGCCTTGAAGCCTGTGGAAGCGTTAGTATGAATTCGTCAAGGAATAAGTAGGGAATGAACTTGCCTCCAATCGGGAGCTTGGGGCTACCGGTGATGAACTGCAAAAAGTCTCTACGCTCCTGTGCATCGAACTCGCTCATAGTAGCGAGTAGGTTGCGCACGCTCTTGCTGTCGAGGTTGTAGCCATGATCCGCTTTGATGGAATCCATAAGAGCTAAGATGAGGTTAGTAACAATAATCAACAGTTGGATGCTGGGAAACTTACTCTCTAGCGACCAATCCTCATCTGTCCGGCCGAACAGCATGACTAGCTCATCTGGGGTGAACGCCTTGAGAGCAGAGTATGGGAAGACCTCTGTGAAGCCTGCGCGGAAAGCGTCGGCTTGCCGCTGTACACCGGAGCCAAGCGTGAAGTCAATAACCTTCTCCACATACGTGTCGACATTCTCGATTGTGACTGGTGTGTCCGCACCATTCGAGATAAGCTCGATCGAATCATAGCCTGGAAGTGTAAAGTCCAGAGCTAGATCTTCTACCCGGCAGTCTTGGATGACTATGTCTTGCAGGGCTGCGGACTTTGCTGTTGCGCTCATGTCGTCGTTGTCGACCTTCTTCTTCGCATCGGCAAACTGCTTGAGGAGTAGCAGAGACTTGGCTAGATCTTCATCAACAGCCTTAATGGCTCCAAGAGAGGGTGCAACCGCTGCGCTAGTGCCGTCGCTGATGCGGAAGAAGGTCGGGTTGAAAGAGACGTCGATAATGCGAGAGTCCAGCATAGAGCGGGCAACGAATTTACCCAAGATCTTGAAAAGCTCAAGACGCTTCTCGCCATTCTCGGTGCTCGCTTCCTCAGCGCTCATAGGAGCCGGGTAGAGACCTCGCTTACCGAAAGCATATTCGTCACTGTCGTTGGACTCGTTCTCTCGCCAGAGCTTCAATTTCTTCTTCGAGAACTCACGCGACACAGTGGAGTAAAACTCCAGTGTTGGCCCTAGACCGGTTCCAACTTCCTCAAAGTACTCCACTTCCAGGACACTGGCAGAATGTCCATAGAGCTGCATCACTTTCATCGCAGATTCCAGGATCCGGGATCTAGAAATGCGGACCTTCTGGCGTTGGAGGCGACCCAAGAATGGCCGCTCGTCCCTATGTCGACTATCACGTGAGTCGCTCGTGGGCTGCGAGTTCTGCCATCGTGTCATCGACCGTGAGTAGCCGAACGAGGTGGACTGTAAGAAGAGATGGCGTGTCTCGAATGGGAACAGGAATGGGTAGAAACGTGCCAGATCCTCGCTCCAGCTAGGGAGACAGTTACTCGCTACCACAAGAGGCTCTTCCAGCTGACGGTTCAGTTTCGCCGTAAGCTTCGTGTTGACAAACTGTGAGAGTGGCTCGGCATTCAGCTTGACTTGTTCCTTGTTCGCGAGCAGAATGTCGTCAAGGTGCGAGTTCAGCCCGTGGAGTATACTTAGCAACCGCAGGATACCAGACGTCACAGGGTGTTGATCAAGTGAGGCTGGCATACCGGAGACATCCGATCGTGACTCTGGAGGCGGTGTCAAGGAGCTGGGCTCGCTTGGTGGAGGGCCCTGGACCCGCTTAAACTTGATAGTATGAATGCCATTCCAAACAGAGCGATGTGATCCATCTTGTGGCTGAGCTTGACTGAAGTGCACAGCGCGGTAGATTGTCGTCTCATTTGAAAGTGGCTGATCATTCACGCTAAACTCGATGTGCCAGTCTTGCGGGGTTGATTGCACAGCGGCAGCATATGAAAGCGCACTTGCCGCACCGCCCAACTGTTGGCGCATAGCGGCTGAGCTTTGAAGTAGCGCGGACAAACGGGATGATGGTGTTCGGTTCTCAGCAGGTGGTTTTGCCAACGGCGTGTTTTGCACCGGTGTGGCGA